ACTCATAACCCTGGTTCTGGATCATTGCAGGGTTGGTCAGCCCACCCGATCTCCCCTGTCCTCACCTCCAAGGTGAGCTCCAGCATTGCCCTGGATAGTTCACCCCTTGTAGCATGAGCAAGGGGCGGGGCCGGTTCTCCTGCTTTCAGACCCTCGGGCTCTGCCCTCCCTCACCTGGACCATCGGGGCCAACTCTACTGTGTTGCCTAGGTGAGGTGCAGGCGCTGCTGGTGAGGGCCAGGGATAGCTCTCCCACTCTTGTTTTTGTTTGTTTGGGATTTTGAGACAGGATTTCTCCGTGTAGTTTTGTTGCCTGTCCTGGATCTCGCTCTGTAGACCAGGCTGGACTTGAACTCACAGAGATCTGACTCCTGGCTCTGCCTCCCGAGTGCTGGGATTAAAGGCTTGCACCACCACCGCGGGCTAGCTCTCCCACTCTTATGACCTCCAGGGTCAGCGTTCCTATCTGCCACAGGCAGTAAGGGGTGGGGTGGGTGGCATCATATATATCCCCCCCCCCCCCCCCCCCCCCCCCCCCCCCCCCGCCTACACTACCATATGGCACATGAGAGGCATGTTCTCAGGCTGGTTCACCAGTACCAGTACCACTGAGGGTGTGAGGGTAGGATAGCTGGCCACACCCACCTCGTCTGTCATGTGGTGGTGAGGGCCTAGGAAAGATACTCCCCCACCCCATCCCTGCCACATGTAGTGGGTGAGGGAGCTGACCTTCCTCCTTACCAGCTGCAGCACTTGGAAAGTGGGCCCTGCACCTGCACCAGGTCAGGCAGCTGACCCTGTTGACACTTTGAAAGCAAGCTTGACATGTTACTGCCCACAGTCAGTCAGCTGTTTGCGTATCAAATGTGGCTCTTTGAACTATTCTGACTCTTTACTTTTTACCATTGAAAACCAAGTCTAGCTGGGCAGTGGTGGCACAGGCCTTTAATCCTAGCACTCGGGAGGCAGAGTCAGGCAGATCTCTGGGAGTTCGAGGCCAACCTGGTCTAGAGAGTGAGTTCCAGGAAAGGCGCAAAGCTACACAGAGAAACCCTGTCTCAGAAAACAAAACAAAAGAAAAGAAAACCAAGTCTAGTAAGAAAATCTGTCACTTGTCTATAAATAATATATGATAAAAATAAGAAATAGTAAGCATAACACAAATAATTCACTTTCATGCCAAACTAAGGCTGTTATTTTTTACAATTTTAGTTGTTTAGTCATTTTGAAGTTCAAAAGAAAACTTCACTAAAACTCTTACTATTTTAAATGTGAGTAGTGCTTACTTTCCCCCTTAATTTGAACATAGAAACTAATCTCTCTACACAATAGTGAGGAATATTTTATACAACTGATAATTGATTTCATTTGTAAATTGATATGCACATGAAAAGCTCATTCCAAAAATATAGATAACATTTTGGAATCCATAGACTATTATACAATTTTATTATAAATAATAATGTTTGTGGAATTGCCATTATCTATTTTTTTTTACTAAGTTTCCATAAGGCTTTACAGATGGTACTGTCATGATTTTACATAAATCTCTGAAATAAAAGAGAGCTCATTTATACAAAGGAGATAATGAGAATGTAAACACAAGTTAGATGATTATGTAACTATGGAGAAAATCTGTTATGAAAGTTACTAATTAATCTGAGAAACCTAGGATGTCAATTCTGATGCACTTTCTCAGTTTCACTGTACTATAAGATAATCATCACTCAAGCTCACTTTCTCACATCTACTATGAGAGGAATTATTTGCAAACTCTCATCAACTGGGTTAGGGAAAGCCCTCTGAGCTAAGACCCTGGGTGGCACTTGGCAGAATGTGAGGTGGGCTCCATGTATGTATTGTGTGCCCAAGGTGACCCACAATGGTTTTCAAGCTAGCGAGTTCTGGAATCTCCCAGAGAACTTTCAATAAGTAATTTCTCAGCGAGTCTCGCAGGGTAGGACTTTATGTGAAGGCAGTCTGGCAGCAGACCAAAAAATTAAACATGCTTCTAATATTAGAAATTTCTATATTTTATACTACAGAATGGTTCAAATAAGAACTGTGATAGCAAAAGAAACTCCCACCTCTGTATATATCTCCGTGTTTTTAAAAATACCCTTTCTGCTCCATTGATCTTAATTCTCAGTGACTAATAGTTAATCATTGGAAACCATGTGTTTTCATGTATTGTAATTGCTCACCTTGGCGTGGAATTCAAGTGACTTTGCATGTATGCCTCAAATTCCAATGTGCAGGTTTAGAAAAGGAGCTAGAGAGGAAATAAGGGGAATGTACCACTATTGGAAATATGAAAGAGATGTACCTGGATGATACTGAGTAATGAAATCATGTTCTAGAATAAATGGAACAGAAGACACAGTTCTTTGTATTTCTTATCAAAGTTCGAGTTGCTAATAGGTATGCTTTGCTCTTAAGGCGGCCTAAGGATTAAGTCAGTTGGGAACATGATAAAGAGAAGGGTTAGAAGGACGGTCACGAGCCCATGTTATTCAAACCTTGCCCCAGTACCCAGAAGAAAGCTTGTCTCGTTTTAGTGCACTGTTTTTGTGTGACAAAATGACTCTGGAATGAAGTTGTCTTACAGTGTGAGTGTGCTTTCATTTTGTTGTTATTACTGTACATACACACACACACATACACACACACACACACACACACACACACACACACATATATATATATATATATATATATAAAATCTGCAAACACACTGTCACGTACCAACGAGTGGCCACCCAGACCCTCCGTGCTCACGCTTACTTAGTCCTCCCTCATATTTAACTACTGTGCTAACTACCTCTCTGAAGCTCACCAGGTGAGATGTGTGAAAATTGAAACACAACGGAGATGCAAGTATGTTAGAGCGAGTGTCTCTCTACACATCCACCCTGTTGGTTTTGTCATATTTATCCCTCTTTCTCCAGAGTCGTCCTCACACAGAGCTCTGCATAAGTGAATGGGTTTCTCCATAGCTAGTCATGCCTCCGGAGCCCTTAGAGTCATGCCTCCTTAAGTACCTCTCTGTAGCCAATGCATCTTTTTGGCTCTGTTTCACTGTGTTCTTCTGTGGCTTCACTGTATTCTTCATAGTTTACCTGAAAGATTTCCACACCGTATTAAAACGCACCCCAGTTTCAGCCCGTGATGAGGGGTCTCCGAGTGTCCCGCAGGGCAGTTCCGTAGCAATCCTCAACCAGCGCGTTTCTGTTGCTGCTCATGTAGTTCATGAGCCTGTCTGTAGTACAGAACCCAGAAACCCTTGCTATTAGAGGCAGAGATGTGATTCTCTCTGCTGCTAGAGTACCCTCACAGGAAGCTCCTGTAGGTGTCTAGTGTGTGAGAACTCGGACCCCTCTCCCAGGATGGGTGCCTGGGAAGCAAGTAGCTTCTTTCATCTTGAGAAAATGTTTTCATCTTAAAGAACAAAGACATATGGGAGGGTTTGGAGGGAGGACAGGGAAGGGGAAAGTGATGTAATTATTTTATAATCTCAAAAAAAGGAAACAATTTTCAGGAGTCTTTATTTTATAGTTGCAGCTGTGTATACTGTCCTCAAACTTAAATCTGTAATGTTGCAGCCTAAATGACACATGAGATGGTCTCTGTGATACAACAAGTGACTTTTCCTTTTTCTCTGTATTTCTGTGTTAAGAGTAATTTTAGTAGTTCAGCATCCAGCTCTTTCTGTGCATCTTAATTTAGACATCTTATCCTGTTATGGAATATTTAATATCTTTATAATGCCTCACTAACATTACATAGTGGTTACAATTCTTGTGCAGGTAAGTTTTTCTTCTTTTGTGACTAATTATTAAAATGAATTATTACTGAGTCAAAGGTCATTAACTCTTTTCATGGCTCTTGATAAGAATTGTTGAGTGAATTTAGATATCTTAGTTTCTTAGATTTAGTCATTCAATAATATATACCTATTTAAAGTTCCATGCTGTGTGGGATTATATATATATATATATATATATATATATATATATATATATATATGTATATAATTTGTATTGACTAATTTAAATGAATGAACAAAAGAATAAATTCTTTTACAAAAATGTTATATACAATAAATGAGCATCAAAGTTTAATACTTTAACAGATTTTGACTACCTTTCTGAAATAAAGTACTTACAAATTTTAATCTAAGTAATCTATGTAAATTTACTTTTATAAATTATAGTTAATAGATATTATACACCAAAGAGTACTCATATATATCCATACTTTTCATTTAAATGCTCTCTTTATAATGCCATCAAATCAATAAGATGCAGATAAATACATAAAATCTTACATATCTTAATAGTAGCTGATTCTAATTTTCTTCTTAAAAGTATAACATTTATATGTTTTCTTTGAGAGTTTCATACATGCATGCAATACATTTTAATCATTCTCATTCTCTTCCAACTCTTCCTGGATCATTCCCCATGGTCCCTCCCAACTTCATGTCTTTATATATGTATTCCACTGAATCTAAGTAGTGCCGCCCTTGTGCACACGGGGGTGGGGCCACCCACTGGACACACCCCTAAAGAAAACTGACTTTCTCTCCAAGCGGTTCCCAACTGTCAGTGTCCTCAGCTAGGCATGGGGGCCGTGTATCCGCCTGAATCCAGGCTGGAACTTTGAGTGTGTTTATCTCCTGCAGATCTTATGTAAGCAACGCCCAGTTTCCCCTGACCTCTGACTTTATACATTTTTTCCACTCCCTTCCTCCTCTACGCTCTCTGAGATGTTGTCAAAGAGTGTGTGACACTGGTATTTGATTTACGGCCGAGCACTCTGCAGACACTTCTGCTCTGCGCTGTGACAGTTGTGAGTTTCTACTAAACACCATCCACTGTTTATCTGTTATACAGAATATTATTATCATGCCTCTGTGTTTTTAGTAAACTATCTTTAGTAATCAGGTTGGAAGTCCTCTACAGACATTTCAGCTCAAAAGATCGGCCTTTTTCTTGTAGGAAATTTACCAGTGGTGTGGTTCCTCATGCAACAAATACGAGCGTCTGAAAGCAAGCCAGGTTGCCATCGGCATTCGGGACAATGAAAGGAAGGGGCGATCTCAGCTCATTGTGGTGGAAGAAGGAAGTGAGCCATCAGAGCTCATGAAGGTACTGTGATTTGTCTGCTGAAAACTCTGAGCCATAGGTGTGTGTGTGCACACGTGCGTGCATGTGTGCGTGCGTGTGTATGACACAGAGAGAGAGTCTAGGGGAAGGGGATGGGATCAAATATATTTCCAAATGGGAGTCTAGGCTAAAATTAGCTTTTTAAAAGCACCAAGGTTACATAAATTGTTTTAGTTAGGGTTTACTATTGCTGTGAAGAGACACCATGACCATGGCAACTCTTACAAAAGAAACATTTAATTATGGTGGCTCGCTCACAGTTCAGAGGTTCAGTCCCTCATGGCAGGGAGCATGGCGGCATGAAGGCAGGCATGGTGCTGGAGAAATAGCTGAGGGTCCTAATCTGTCAGGCAACAGGCAATTGACTGACTGAGACACTGGGCAGTATCCTGAGCATAGGAACCCTGAAAGCCCACCCCCACAGTGACACACTTCCTCCAACAAGGCCACACCCACTCCAACAAAGCCACGCCTAATAGTGCCACTCCCTATGGGATTATGGGGGCCAATTACATTCAAACTGCCACAGAAGTCGCAGTACAGTGAAGACTCAGTCACACCTGCTCTCTCTCTCGGGATCTCTTGACCCTGCTTATATTTCTTTTCCCTTTTTTCAGTATTGGTGCTTACACCTTGGGCCTTCAGTATGTTAGGCAAGTTGTCTGCCACTGAACTCATCATCATACATTTTGAAGTCTGTAATAGTTTAATCATCTAGATTTAATTACTTTTTAAATGTACTAATTTTCTTTAACGTAAAAAGTTAACAACTACTTCATTAATGAAGAATGAAAAATCTGGGGCTGGAAAAATAGCTCAGCAGTTAAGAGCACTGGCTGCTCTTCCAGAGAACTCAGATTCAATTCCCAACACCCACATGGTTAGGAATTGCAGCTCACAACCATCTGTTAACTCCAGGTCCAGGAAATTCAGTTCCTTCTTCTAGGCTCTCCAGGCACCAGGCATGCATTATGGTACACAGATACACAGGCAGGCAAAACACTGACACACTAAAAATAATAAAAGCACATTTTAAAAAGAATGGAAAATCTTTTACCAAAGTGTTAAATACACCAATATTTTATATATTTCAACTAAGCTAAGAATTTTGTCTTATAAATAGGATATTTATGATTTTCTGCAGCTTTTAAATGAACATGGAGGTCTCCACAGCTCTCCAGAACGAACTCTTTATGTGCTGATTAGTTTTACGTCAACATGACATAAGTAGGCATCATTTGGGGAGAAGGAACCTCAACTGAGAAAATGCCCCTACCAGTTCAGCCGATAGGCAAGGCTGTGCTGCATTTTCTTCATTGATGGTTGATGTGGGTGGGCTCATCCCACGGGACGGGGGTGGTGGTACCACACCTGGGTAGATGGTCCTGGATGGAGTGAGAAAGCAGACCATGTGGAGCAAGCCTGTAAGCAGTGATTCCTCACAGCCTTCGCTTCAGTTCCTGTCTCCATGTTCCTGCCTTGAGTTCCTCCCCTTCACAATGGACTGTGATTGGAGCATGTGAGCTGAAACAAACCCTTTCCTCTCCAAGTTGCTATTAGTGATGGAGTTTTATCAAGCAATAGAAACCCTAACTAAGATACTTTACTATCACACTCACCTCTGACAATTACTTGTGGCACAGTGGCATGCCTATGCACACCCATACTTGGGTGTTCATTGTGTTTCTTTCAAAAAACTGGAAAAGAAAATTTAAGCATTGTGTTAAGATGTAAAAATGCTAATGGAAGAGATAAATCTAAAGATACAAATTTAACTTTGAAATACTAGAGGGCAGTAAAGAGTTCCAATTCCTAAGATGCTGTCTGTGTTTCAGGGACTCCCTGTTTTGGCTTTGGATTCCTAAAAATGCATGCACTGTGTCTCTACTCAGTATGTTCAGGGTCTGTGCTGCACCCTCTCTCACAGCTCCTCCCGGTGCACCTTCTTAGGTGAGAGGAAGCAATCGGTGGGTTTTCTGTCATGGATGCTTTGCAGCCCAATTGCAACAGAGATTGCTTGATGAACTAACTATGTACGTAGGGGAAACTAGTTTATCTTCTAGAATTTTGAAGTTGGTAACTGTGATGATAGAATTCAAGACCTCAATTGGTTGGGAAAATTACAACTTTATTTTCATGCACTTGTGAGTGTGGTATTTCCTCGAATTGTGAGTATAACAACCAGAGTAGCATGACTGTTCCTGTGACTATTTAGACCACAATTCAGTTATTATGGATAACCTCAAAATATCAGTTAGCTTCATCACAACTTTGTAGGTCTTCTGCTCCCCAAGACAGGGTTTCTCTGTATAGCACTGGCTGTCCTGGAACTCACTCTGTAGACCAGACTGTCCTCAAACTCAGAGATTCACCCACCCTGCCTCCCCAGTACTGGGATTAAAGGAGTGTGCTACCACTGTCCAGTGGTAGTTATTTTTGATATTTGCTGTTCAGTAATGTTGTTCAACGAGCTGATGAAGAAACTGATCTCCCTCCTCCCCAGCCCCAAGACAGGGTCTCTCTACTTAGTCCTGAATGCCCTGGTACTTGCTCTGTAGACTCTAACTCACAAAGATCCTCCTGCCTTTGCCTCTCAAGTGCTGTATTAAAGATGTGCTCCACTACACCTGGAAAAAGCTCATATATTAACTGGCTTCTTAAAAATACATTTAGGACCAGGGAATGGCACAGTAAATTGAATCCCTGTACCCAGAAGGTGGTGGGAAGAGATCAAGAATTCAAGGGCATTCTTGGCCATGTGGCAAGTTCAAATCCATTCTGGGCTACATGGCAGCCTGTCTCAAAACAAAATGACAAATAGGTCAATGATAGATTTGTTGACAGTTGTATTCCAATATAACTGTTTTTCATTGTAATCCTTTGTATTTTATTTTATGAACTTAAAAATATTTTTTTCTCAGAGGGAGCCAAAGTTCTCCATAGCATACAAGCACAGAAATGGTCCCGAGTCTTCTGTGTAAGACAAGGAAACATCATTTTCCCCCCTGAGATTGTACAGTGATGCTCTTCTTAGAGGGGTCTGCAAATCTAAGCATCTTTCAGAATACCCTTCACAGTCCACCCTTATTCCTTTGTGGAGAGGATGTTTTAAGTTACTTAAGTCTAGAAACTTTAATGTCTACATGAGAAAGAAAATAAAGCCTCAAAATCAAGGATTTTCGAATCACTAAAATGATCCAGTGGCCACGACTCTGTACCGAATGCTGAATGCTTGGGCCATGTGTGGAACCAGGCCATGACCACTCACTCATTTGTCTGTTGATCATTATTTCCACACAATTTGAATATGTCTTATCTCAGACCAAAGCACTTTGTGGAGTAAAATTACAGAGAAGACAGGACATGGTAAGGACACACTAATAAGACCGTGGGGGCAACAGGATGTGTGGTTACTCTGCTTTCTGCTGTGTGTTTAGCAGCTCCTGTGTCTAACTGTGAAAGCAATCCTACGTGATGAAGTCACTAAGCCTTAGCTAGTCACATTCTGCTCTGTGTTTTGTTTTTTCTTGAATATAAACATATTTACTATGAAAGGCTGTAATAAATTATGTAAAGGTTTTCTCTGGTCTTTCTTCTTTTCATATTTAAAATAACCAGTGAACATGAAGGGAAATTAACTATCTCACCAGCCCAAAGGCCCTGAAGTTTATTCATTGTATGTAGTCTTCCTTAAACATTAGGAGGGAAACTGAAAGATGCCCCAAGGAGAAGGATAATTTTTCTGATTATGGACTTTGTTTTTGTTTTGTTTGATTTTGTTTTGTTTTTTTTTTTAAGACAGCATCTGGTGAGATGAGAGACTGAGATGGGACAGGTTGTTTTCTAAGTCAGAAAGACTCTTTTTTAAATATACTGTAATGAATTTGACTATATAATCATTATAAATCCTGGTGGCAAATGCTAGCCATAAGAACAGCGCAGGAGATGCAGGCAGTTGCTATGGGACTGAACTGGTTCCTTTCTTGTTTTTATAAAAAACAGCTGTAAGGTTCCTGCAAAGTCATATGTTCAAACATTGCTTCAGATTCTTGATAAAGAAAGAAAATTGGAAGGAAAATCAGAATATCGTATTGTGTCTCACAGTGTTTATTGAGCATTTGGGCTGTGTCCTAGCTACTGTTCAACTGCTGTGACACAACACCATGACCAAGGCAACTTGTAAAAGGAAGCATTCAACTGGAGTTTCAGAGGGTTAGTCCACGATCATCACAGTGGGAAGCATGGTGGCTGGCAGGCAGGCAGGCGGGCGGGCAGGCAGGCGTGGTCCTGGGGAAGTAGCTAAGAGATTAAATCTGATTCTCAAGTTGGAGGTGGAGAGAGAGGGGTACTGGGCCTGACTTGGGCTTTTGAAACCTAGTCCACCCCTAGCAACACACTTCTTCCCACAAGGCCACATCTCCTAACTCTTCCTCAACAGTCCACCCACTGGGAACCAAACATTTAAATGTATGGGCCAATGGGGGTGTTTTCATTCAAACCATCACAGGTTTGTTGCCAATATAGATGTAGTCTCAGCTTGTTTTACTCTCTAGCAGAGGAGCTAAGCTCTAGAAAAGGGGAAGAGCAGCAATGGGAGCTGAGGGCCACACACCTCACAGCGTCGTGTTTGTTGGAATCCTTCTTAGGAAATCCATGTTTCAGGCTCTTTGATATTCACAGACAGTTTGTATTAACCTCTAAAGTCTCTCCTAGTCTATGAATTGGGGTGCTCTTGTTTTTATCAGTAATAATTGATAATAATGATAGCCATTCTCTTTGGAAATTGATCAGATATTTAATATGTGCAGATCTGGGAATTTGGTAAGTAAAGAGAAGAGTTGAGTAGTTTAGATGGCTCTTAAATCAACTTTTTAAAATCTTATTCAGTCAAAGAGCAAAATTTTCGTATTTCCCCAAAGTATACTGTCAAATAAAACCCATATCTTACTGACGTCACTCCACAGTCCGTGAGGTCAGACATT